CAATCGAGACGGCCATAATAAATGATCAATGGAAGTGTAAGCTAAAAAAAATTCAAGGAAGGCTATATATTTGATAGAATCATGCTTATAATACCAATTCTAATGGCGAGAAGTTAAGGTCAGTTACATGCAATCAATGACAAAGCCTTGGCTGAACAGAACAGAACAGAACAGAACAGAACAGAACAGAACAGAACAGAACAGAACAGAACAGAACAGAACAGAACAGAACAGAACAGAACAGAACAGTGACTTTCTTCAACGACTTTTCCTCATGCCTTAAACATTCAAATATTACCATCTATGCTGATGACACGGTAATCTACGTCGCTGGAGAGGATCTTTTTATTATTGAAACTCGACTTTCGGCCGATATGAAATCAATTGCCGAGTGGTGTGTCCAAAACGAACTTATTCTCAACACTAACGCTGGCAAAACGGAATCGATGCTCTTCGGTACTGCTAAAAACCTGGCACAAAACACGCAAACCTTAAACGTGACCTACAGAGACCAGTTGATTAGATCTACGACAACATATATGTACCTGGGTGTTGAAATCAACCATTCACTGAATATGAACACTAACTTTGATAGTACATATAAGAAAGCTTGTGGAAGACTAAGTTTATTAAGAAAGATAAGACCTTTTCTTAATGTCAAGGTGGCGAAGGCCATCTATCAAGGGATGGTCTTACCAATTTTAACCTACTGTGGCATATTAAACTTAAATTTATGCAGAACCCGTCAAGACAAACTTTTATCAATTCATCGCCGTGCTGTAGGTATAATTGCATCAAAACCTAACCACGAACTTAGGATAAAATCTCCTCATATCTGCAATCAAATTAAAGCATGTGTATTGGTTCGGAAATGTTTAGATGGAAACGTTTGTTCGAATTTTATAAACTATTTTGAAACGCACAAACATAGCACGATGACCCGAAACAACGAATACAAAGCTAAACTGCCAAAAATCCGGTTAGAATATAGCAGAGGATCGTTTTACTACATGGGAGCGAAACTTTATAACAATCTGCCCCTGGATACACGTAAAACTGAAGATTTTAACTCTTTTAATAAGCTCTTAGAAGAAAACTTTTAACATTTTTACCTTTTATAACTATATGATAATATGTATCTATACATATGTAAACTTCTAATGATTGAATTCCTGTATTTCCAGTATATTTTAAACTTATATAGTGACAGGACCCACATTGATAACAGTTCTTTATTGAACTGACGTGAACATCCTGTATAAATATTCGTTTAATAAAAATAAAATAAAACAGAACAGAACAGGGCAGGACAGAACAGAACAGAACAGAACAGAAAAGAACAGAACAGAACAGAAAAGAACAGAACAGAACAGAACAGAACAGAACAGAACAGAACAGAACAGAGCAGAAAAGAACAGAACAGAACAGAACGGAACAGAACAGAACCCCTACTACTGATTGAAGCGGTTTTGTGTTCTATAATACTGTTAAAAAATATCCGCGTTTTACCGTAAAAAGTACTGGCAGCTGGGACGCCAGAGAAATACTGCAATTTTTTTAACTGAAGTCTTATTTTTAACTTAACTTTAGAAGGATGTAATGCAAAATCCTGTATTTTTACAGTAAAAAGTCCAGTAGTAGTTTTACAGTAAAATTATAAAAATAATTGCCAAGGAAATTTCTAAGCCTTTAACACATATTTTTAACTTATCACTCTCGTCTGGAATTATTGCAGACAATTTAAAAGTCGCATTATTTACGCCAATTTTTAAAATTAATGAAGAAAACAAGTTTGAATATTATCGGCCAATCTCAGTTCTAACTTGCTTTTCCAAATTGCTGGAAAAATTTGTTGTCACAAGACTAACAAAATTTATTGATAAAAACAATATATTATCAAAGCGTCAGTATGACTTCAGATAAAACAGATCGACAGAACATGCTATAATTGACTTCGATGATAAAATCACTACAGCGATTGATCAAGGGAAAATCCCTATTGGTATTTTCCTTGACCTGTCAAAGGCATTTGACACAATTAATCACAAGATTCTGATAAGGAAATCGGAACATTACGGTATATACGAGGAGTAGCCAAAAATTGGTTCGAAAATTATCTGTGTATAATATAATAACAAAAGTTGGTAAAATATAATGGCGTTCGATCTGAGAAAATGACTGAATGACTATCAAAAGCGGTGTCCCACAGGGATCAGTATTGGGTCCTTTATTGTTTCTTTTATATATAAACTAGAAATACATGCATGCAATAACCCCTCGCCTGTTTTCAAAAGATGTATACTCAGTGCCGTTGCTAGCACTTCGTCTCAGGGGGTGTGTGAGGTTAGATAGAGGGGGGGGGTGGTTACCAAAATGTTTCCAGATGTACAAAAAATTTTCAGGACATATAATAATTTTTCCGAAAATACAGTTGTTTTCCAAATTCACTTTCTCATGTCCTGAGAATTACCTGAATTCCCCTGAAAATCTTCTGCAAATCTACTTAAATTTACCTAAAAGTGCACTGGAAATCTACCTGAAATTCCTCATGAGCAATTATCAGGGGTGTTGCACCCCACCCCCCCCCCACCAGTGAGTTTCACGCATTCACGCAAACACTCTCTGATTTATTGTTCGTGTATTTCATCTCCCAAAATTTTGTGCATCATACTATAGAGCATTTTGCTGTTGTCATGGTCTAGCG